AAATATTTTTAAACGGAAAAGTTTGGCCTTTTTCTAACCCCTTTTGAGGCTGGCCCTGTGGTCACAGAGCTCCTGCTGCACACTTAGACACTGGATTTCAAGAGTGGAGGTACCACACGGACCACCTGACCACTGCAATTCCCAGATTGCAGCATCAAAATGTCTAAAAATAGTTTTTTGAAGGCAGAAACGCTATGAAACATGAGGAAGAGCCCAATTGCCTGGCTCAACCCCTCAGGGGACCCTCGTTGTGCTCTGCTCAGCCTCCTCCTGCCCCGGGTGGACCAGGCGATGAGGGGGAGCCACAGGCAGAGACCACCAAGGCCGAGAGCTGGGCACGGTGGCCAGGAGCAGCCGTGATGGCCACCGGCTGTGAGGTGTGGGCAGAAGGCAAGATCTGAAAAGATCCTGCTTTTTTCTTTGAAAACTTCAGTTTTCTGGGGAGGAGGGAAGTGAACGTGACCTCAGGCACCTGCCGTGAGGGACGTGGGACACGGTAACAAGCCCAGCTGGGCAGCAGGTACGGCCCGGAGGGAGGCCAGAGCTCAGCTCGGTGACCTGGGGAGGATCTGAAGCAGCAGAGCCTGGACCTTCCCAGCAGAACTATTTTTCAAAGCCCTTTTCAAGCTTGAACTGAGAGCGAGTTGCCTTTCATAGCCAGAAGAAGAAACGGACTCCATTCAAGAGTGGTGATTTTCAGGTGCTTGGATGATGTCGAAGCTCTTGGCTGAAGCACAGACTGCAATAAAAGCAGCCACAAAAATATTTAAGGAGCTTCCTCTAAATTCCCAGCCTTGCAGTTGGAGCAACCTGGTTCTGGAGCAGCCCGTGGGGAGAGGGGAAGGGGGGCAGATTTTGGGGTATGACTCTGGGTGGGCAAGGGCTGGGCTAGGGGCTGAGCCATGTGGGGCTGAGCCACTTTGGGGGGGCTGAGCCACTTTATCCACAGGTGCTCTGGTGGCCACGGGATGGGCAGCACTGGCCCAGCTGCTCACAAGGGAGCTGCTGGATGCAGGGTCACCAGCAGCCCCATGGCAAACCCAAATTCCTAGGGACCAGCCTCTGCTTTTCTCCCCAGGTGATACAAAACCTCATCGCATCTTGTGTCTCCCAAATGTTTAAAGGAGAGAAATAACCAGGGTGCAGGGCCTTCCCCAAAGTGCTGGCCACAGGCAGGGCTGGGCCAGTGCCCTGGGGCGGGAGGTGGCCATGAACCACAGCTGGCCAGACTGGTCTGTTTTTATGACCCAAGCGGAGAGACACGGTGATTAATCAGCCAGCCCACGGGGGACAAGCCGAGTTGGGTTCTAAATTCTTTGGTGCTCCTCATAACTCAGGTGAGTCCCTTTGTTCTGACAAACTGTAATTTTTCATTTGACAGGCGGCGTCCCTCCAACAAAACGCCCAACAGCCAGGTCCAAAAACAGCCCGTAGGCGAGAGGTGAGACGGGGAGGACACAGCTGCCCCCTGCTCCTGCTCAGAAACCACATCTCCCCAGCGGGGGAGGCTCCAGCAGCCCTTGGGCCCAACATCGCTGCTCTGTGCCCAGCCCACGTGGTCAGTGCTTAATGCTGGGGACAAACGAAGCCTTTCCATCCATCCATCCATCCATCCATCCATCCATCCATCCATCCCCACCGTGTGCTCGGGCTCCATCCCAGGAGGTGTCAGGAGGACACCCTGCTCTTCCTCAGCTTCCCCGATGCAGGTGATGGGGTCCCCGTTGGCATCACAAAGCGTGGTGCTGCCGCTGCCAGCAGCCAGGACTTGGTTTTCTTCTTTTCCTGCTCCCTTTTCCCCCCGGCAGCAGGAGGCAGGAGGATGTGTCAGCTCAAGGCTGAGCCCAAAGAGGCTTATGCTGACTATTTACCTTTGCGAGGGTCTATTTTTGGCTGCTCGGCTGCAGCTAATTCAATGAACAGGGCAGCGATTCAGGAGAGAAGCCACATGAGGGTCATTGTTTCTAGGATTCACTTCGCTCCTTTGCCGAGGCCAGGAGCCTCGCTGCTTTTTGTGTTCCTTGGGGCTTTTTTTTTCAGATGACAAAGTGTCACAAAGGTAAAAAGTGCACTTAGGGACAGGTCAGAAGGACCTGGGAAACCTGCAGCCCCATCCAATGCTCAATTCATTGCCCACTTTTCGCCACTGAGGAATCCCGAGGTGGCTCCTGACCCTTTCCCATCTGCAGCCGGAGGGCTCTAGGTTGGCCCCACACACTCTGCCATCCCTCCACGCCTCCCACCCAAAACAAGCTCGGAACTTCATGGATATCCAGTGCGAATTTAATAACGGCATCGGGAGCTAATGAACAGGCGGAGGCTGGAATCAAAGTCAGCCAGGACGTGAGCACTGCTGGGAATCAGGGAGCAGCCGGGCTATCGGCTCCGTCGCTGTTTTTCTGGCTGTTGGGAAGTGGAGCTCGGGGTGTGACAGGAGCTCGGGGATGGTGAGCTGTGGTAGAAAGACACCTGAACTCTCCTGCTGGCAGTGGGACCCTCAGGGGACACCAGGTGAGCTGGCCGAGGGGTGGCACGGTCCTGGTGATGGGCTCCCACGCAGCTGAGCATCGCTTCAAAGAGCAAAAAAAAAACCCCATTTTTTTCCACGTGCTGGAAAACTGCAGCGCGGAGTCTTCAGTGAAACAAATCCTGAGTGATTTCCACATTGCTGAATGACATTTTAATAGTGGAAAAATAACGCTAAAAATTATCTACTTCATCTCTTCCCATTGTCTTCTACTGGCTGGGAATGACTGCTGCAGCAAAACCAGCTCCGGATCTTCTGGTGGGTGTTTGCTGGTGCCTCCCAGCCCGTTGCCAGCAGCTGCACAGCCCCGGAGGGGACACGGGGTCCTTTTCTGTCCCTAATGCAGCCACCGGCGCTTAGAGCTCGCTTCCAGGTGAATACACTGAGCTCTGCCACACGTCCCCAGGCTGGAGTGAGTGAAACACAGCCTGGAGTGAGTGAAACACAGCCCCAGCACCCAACACACCTCCCCTTCAGCTGTGAAAGGAGAGGCCCGAGCCGTGGGGACGGCGTCCGGCCAAGGGCTGTCCCCCAACATAAGGTACAGCACCCAGCCTGTCCAGCAACGCGCCACACAAACGCCTCACACCAACTTTTATTATTCACTGAATCATCCTAAATCTCCAAGAACTCCCCGGCCGACAGCGAAGCAGCCACCAAGCGTGTCACCTCCTACGACCCCAGGGGGCACGGGCAGCCTGGGGACTTCTCCAGGCCGGGCTGCTGGGAGCTGTGCGGGCACCACCAGGTGCTTTCACCATCGCTCTCCTCAAGGGGAAGGTTTTCATCCTCTGAATTAAAGGCACACAAATCAGGAGCCAAACCGTCCTTCTGCCACACCACAGCCACTCTTTGGCACGGTGCCTACACAGGGTCAAGTCTTTTCCCCCTTCCAAAACACAGCACGGACTCATTTTGTGCTGGTTTCACACACAGCATCCCAGTTGCCAGCCTCCCTTCCCCAGTATGGGGCGGGCGGGCTCCACAGCAGGCGGTGGGTAAGGCCTTGCAGGAGGATTTGTAAAGAAATTTGCTTGTTGGATGCAGGGACCTGTGAGGATACGGGGATTTCCACGGGTGCTGCCAAACAGCACAAACGTGCCTGAGAGCAAAGCTGGAAAGTGAGCACTGATTCCCCCCCTCCCCAGCCCAAGACAGAGCCACAGGAGAGAAGGAGCAGCTGAGCTGAGAGGGAGCAAGACAAGGGGGAAAGGCTGCAAGGCTTCATACCACGCAGAGGGAGGGGCAAAACCAGTGCAGCCCCCCCTCACCTCCTCTCCTTTCTCACTCTTACAAGGAAATTACTCCCCCGGCTCCGTTTGGCACAAACCCTGGCTCAGGACACACCTTTGGATGCCACCAACCTGGGTAAGGACATTTGGCAACGCGGCTGCGCCCAAGGCCCCAGCCCCGCTTCTCGTTGGCAAATTTTACAGGAGACAAGAGGGGAAAGATGATGTCCCTTCGAAAATACTTCAAAGGGAAACCTTCATCAGAGAGGGAGCTCTGCAAAAATGACTGCAACAAACCAAGTTTCATTTTCATTTTGGGACGGGGAAGAGGGTGCCCCGCTGGCACCAGCAGAGGGGCCTCCAGCCCTCTTGGAGCTCTACAGCCTATGGCAAAGAGAGGTGGGGACAGTAAATAAGCCAGTAATTGAGAAGAGCCAAAGGAAACACATTGGGAAACATACTGGAAACAACAGACTTCCACAAACAAGTGTCTGAAGTCTGTGGTTGTCAGCACGAAGAAACAGCTTTGCTGTAATGGCATGAATCATAGAGTTGTTTGGGTTGGAAGGGACCTTAAAGATCATTGAGTTCCAACCCCCTGCCCTGGGCAGGGACACCTCCCACCAGATCAGGTTGCTCCAAGCCCCATCCAGCCTGGCCTTGAACCCCTCCAGGGATGGGGCAGCCACAGCCTCTCTGGGCAACCTGGGCCAGTGGCCCACAACCTTCACAGCAAAGATTTCCTTTTGGTATCTAATCTAAATCTCCCCTCTTTCTATTTAAAACCATTACCCCTTTTCCTATCACTCCACTTCAGATACTGGAAGGCCATTATAAGGTCTCCCTGGAGCCTTCTCTTCTCCAGGCTGAACAACCCCAGCTCTCTCAGCCTGTCCTCATAGGAGAGGTGCTCCAACCCTCTGAGCATTTTCGTGGCCCTCCTCTGGACCCGTTCTAACACGTCCATGTCCTTCCTGTGCTGAGAACTCCAGAGCTGGACACAGTGCTCCAGGTGGGGTCTCACCAGAGCGGAGTAGAGGGGTAGAAAGAAGTAAACTTTGGAAGGTGTGTGTGTGAGATGCCCTGACTCCAGAGGAGCAGCTCTGCAGGAGCTGTGCCATGTACATTTTCTGTACATATGGGAAAAAAAATCCATCCAGCCAGTATACAGTATAAAAAAAGGTGAGGGACAAGACCTTCAGGTGACCAGTTCTTCCTCGCCAACAAAGCAAACACCTCCCTTGCAATCCCAATAGTCTGCAGGTTTATTTTTGGCAGATTATAATTAAAATGGTCTTTATGGCTTTAGAGAGAAGCCACTAAGCTGCACATTTTGGTTGAAGCTGAGAGTGCACGTGTGTGGGGGATGCTGTGGGTGAAGGGACGGCACAGAGAGGCCTCGCCACGGCCCTGCTCCTTCCACTTGACCCACAGAGGCTGCTGGCTCTCGCTTGGCTCTCTCTTGTGTTCTCATTTCTCATCAGCAAGTAGCAAAGTTCTGGTTCCAAACCAGTGCAATCCCAGAGGCAGAATAAAAAGTCCTTGTTAAGACCTAGAAAAGCTTTATGTTTCTAACAAAATCAAACTCAAGCACGTGCAAACACTGTTCCTGCGTTGACGCATTTCGTTCAGGTTCCACCACCAGAGCACTGGAATCTCCTTTCCCTGTCGAACGATTTCATTCCTCGTCCATCCTCCACCTTTCAGTCTTCTCAGGGCTCTTGACAAGCTATCCCTCCATTTTTGTCTTCAACATTTTTCCTAGGCACGTCCTTCCTGCCCTTCCCTCTTCCGCTGTCACGCCTTGTTCCTCTCCGGCTATTTTCGGAAAGCAAAGACGTCCCGTGTTTTCAAGCCTCTCTTGCCTTCACTTCCTGGTTTAGGAGAAGACACTTCCGCCAGTCCCCCGTACGGGCAGCTCTCGCACTCCGGGTGATGGCCAGAGCACTCCACGGCAGGGATGAAGCCACTGTCCCACATTCCTGTCCCACACAGCTTGCAGAGGTCGTGCAGGCTGCAGGGGATGCGGGGCAGCAGGTGGAACTGATAGAGCAGACTCCTGGCCTGGAGGGGAGAGAGACAAAGTCATTCATTCACTCCACACCAGGGGATGAACACGGAGAGCAGGGGTAACCCGTGGCCTCCTCTCCCCTCCCCTCCTCCTGCCTGGCTACTTTAGAAAAGTCAAAGCTTCAGCAAAGGAGCATCTCTCCTGAATGCAAAGCTGAAGGTTACACCAGGCGCTGGGGACACTGCCGGGTCACAGGACATCCCATGGCCCGCAGTCACTCCCTCCTGAGGTGGACATGGAGACCAACAGCTCTGTCTGTCGTTCCCCCGAGCATGTGCAAGGGTTATCCCGACCACACCATTACCTCCTGAGCACTCTACAACTACCTCTTGCTTCTGCCAACAGCAGAATCCCACCCTCCCAGGCTCCAGATGAGCAGGGGGACACAGGAGATGCAGCAGATGAAGCATCAGTCCCCAAGACTCATCTCTGAGATGGGCACGTACCTTCCTGAGTACGAGTTCTCCGTTCATGTGCATAGCCAGGTTGCTGAAATGCAGCAGCATCTGGTCGGTGGCCAGCTGCTGCTCAATGACATCGTCCCCATAGATCACCACGATGGCCACGCAGATAAAGAGGTGGAAGTAGTCGGTCTGCAATGAGAAAACAGGGACTGGAGCTCAGCAGGAGGAGGCAGAGGTTTGCACCCTCCCCACCCTCCGCAAGCACCTCCTTAGTGAGATTTTGTGCTCCTTCCAGTTTTGGCTGGTGGGACACACAATGGGAGTTACTGGTAAATTCTGAATCACAGCTGAGTCAAACAAAGCCCCTTCCATCTACAGCGCAGCAGCGAGGTTTGCACCACAGCTTTCAAAGCAGAGTAGTGATTTTTGGGAAGATGTTTTCCAGCCATGTAAAGAAGTCTGAACTTCAGAAGTGGATGTTCAGCACTTTCTGAAAAAACTCCTTTTGAAGCCTGGACATCCTCAAGTAGGAGAGGCAAGTGTACATCCTCCTGCTACACAGATAAACCTCTTTGATAGTTACAGCCCCTCTAACACCTACTTATTTTAGATACTTTGCTACTAAGAGCCTTTATGGAAATTCTGCAACCCTTGCAGAGATCATGAGGATTCAGCAAAGAAGACCCTGCTGCCCGATCCCCAGCTGTCTGACCTGGTAGTGAGCCCAGCATGCTTCCCACATGCGCAGGGCCTCGGCATCTGGAAATTCACGTTTAAAACAGAGGAGGATCCATCGGTGACAGAAAAGCATCTGCAGACCATCCTCTCCCAAGGAGGAAAGGTGCTGGTAGAAGCGCGGGTGCATCAGCCGCAGCAGCTCTCGCAGGTACATCTGGAAAAGATGCTCTGAGTTGAGGCCAAGGACTCTCAGAGCCCTCACCCACCCCGGGGACCCCCCTGCCACCCACCAGATCTTGGGGTCCCGCAGAGCTGCCCATCGGTCTCTGCTCTCCCTAAATCCTCCAGCCTCTTTATTGCAGCATGCTTGGATATGCCATTAAAGGTCAGAGCTCACAGGCCATGGCAGGTACTTCACAAGGAAGGATGGAGGGAGAAAAAAAAAACCCATGACAACTACATCATGAACAGAAAGGGGGGAGATTCAGGCTGAGGAAAGCAGCCAGAGCCTTAAAAACTAAACAAAAGAAAGAACATAGCTATCTCTGGTGATATTTCATATCATAGAGGCCAAGCAATGTGGAAGTGATTTTGGAAAGCCTGACCAGACAGGCCCATCACAGCGCATAAATCTGTGCATTAACCAACTGCACCTCACCAGCAGCCTCCATGGGGGTTCCACCACAAGATTACCCCTTTAAATTGGTGCCATCGTGACCTGGACAGGATTTTTCAGGTTTAGAATGGATTTTTCAGGATCTCAACCAGAAAACAACCGACAATCATGTTAAAACCTAAAAAGTTCCCATTTTTAAACAAGTTCACCTTCTTTTAAGAAACTCTGTCAGATATATAAGGCTTTTCATTTGGAAATAATTTTAAAAATATTAAGACCTTAAAACCAAAAAACCCAAAGAAGAGGGTCTGTCAGATATATAAGGCTTTTCATTTGGAGGTAATTTTAAAAATATTAAGACCCTAAACCAAAAAAACCCAAAGAAGAGCACTGCAGAGCACTGCAGCTTAACGACAACTCTGCCACGTTCACATCAAATGCCCCAGAATCAGGACAAAAATGAACTGGTGACTCTTTGCTGCCTGAGAGAATTGTGAAGACAAAGCAAGCAGCACCCTAAATACATTTGATCATAGAAGGTTCCTTGAATGAGCACCCTTTAGCTCAGCCAAGAGAACTTTACTCTGACAATTCATTGGCTGTAACTACCTCTGGAGTGCCCAAATCCCCCAGGATCAATTTTATCTGTCAGGTATTTTTGAGGCTTTGGGGTGTGATTCGGCACACTGGAACCCAACAGCCCAGGTTATCACTTTATGGCATTCTCCTAATTTGCCTGGGACAGAGAAGCTAACGAGAGGACTAACGGGGGCTCAGCCTTCAGCCTCACCAGCTGTTTCTCCATATCCTCATCCCGGGGTGAGCTGACGAAGATGGTGTTCTGCATCAATCCTACAAAGCACCAGAAAGTATCCGACTCATCTAGGACCTCTGCCAGGAGCGGGGCAACCAGGTCAGACATCCCCTGGGAGTATCCAATTGTTGGGTTAAATACTGCATAGTTCAGCAAAATCCTCCTGGAAAAGAGATGCAAAGGGAGAGGTGAGACACAGGGAGGGCACATCACAGCTCTCGCCACGTGGGCTGCATCAGGGGAGCGCAGAAAAGCGGCAGATCACTCCTGCCATCTCAAAGATTAACCTGCAATTGCACCCGGAGCAACGTGAAGTTTCAAACATTCAGTAGGACACGCTGTTTGGGACATTGGAATCAGACACTTCACCTCATAGTTTCCACGTTTGGGTTGTCCTCCCCTCGGAAGAACTGGTTGCTGCGGTCAGTCCTCACGACGTCCTTATCTACCGTGAACTGTACGTTACGCCAGAAATCCTTCTGTTCATCTGGAGTCATCGAGAGCCTGGAAATTGAGCAGCAACAGGAGTACGTTGCCAAGAGAGGAATACGATTGCCACAAGGAACAAAAAGCCTCATTTCAGCTTTAGTTTGCAGAGAAAAACTAGTCCTGTACAGTTTTCACATCACCTGAAAAACAGACAAGCAGGTCTGTCCAGAACAGCAGATTTTCTATCCAAATGAATTATTGGAAGGAGCCTTCTGGGTTATAAGCGGGATGACATGATATGTTTTCTGCAATAAACTCCACTTGAGAAGCAGTCGGACTCTGCTCTCCACTGCTTCTTGTGGGTGGCACACCAGAACTCATCACTCTGTTTTGATTGTCTTCTAATTAATACTACTACTGTCCCTCTCCAGCTTAAACGTACCCACAACCAGTTTACAACAGGCAGTTCCTGCAGTAATAATTTCCTTGAATTAGATAGCCTGCTTTCTTCCCTATTTTTATATCCATATATATTTATAAAGAAATATAAGATCCCGTTTTCACCTTCAGTGTTCCAAACCAAGCATGCTAAGCCTGTAGCCTCACCTGTGAGATGAGCTTCCCTGTTAGTGATGAGGGTAAGACAGCATTTGAGCTGTATGGTATGAGCTCCAGACCCCCGGGAGGTCATCTGCCCCTCGTACACCTCCTTCTCCTCTTGGTTCTTCAACCCACTCAGCTTCTCCTGAAGCCCAGGAGGCAGAGACCCATCACTGCGACCCCAGGCCTGAGGAGATGGGTACAGGAGGGTAAAGCTGCTCCCTTACCTTTTCTCCTGGATCTCGAAGTACTCCTTCCTCTTCTGCAGCCTCAGCGCCTCCCTCTCCTCAGAGGTGGACCTGTAGCTGTAGTAGCGCAGGAGAAAGGGCCACACCTCCCCACGGATGGAAATATCAATCCCACCAAAGAAAATGGCCTGGGAGAAGGAGCAAAAGTTACGACTGGTGCAATTTTAACATTCCCCAAAACAGCAACAAGAAACTGGCCGCTACTGTGCTTTGGTGGCTTTGCAGTTCTCTCCTGACAAGTGACGCCTTGATTCAAGCTCCTGCAATTTGCACATGTTTAGAGGGAAAGTGCTGGCCTTCTATTCCCAGACGAGACACAAATCGGGCTCATTTCAATGTCAATAACCCCCCCTGGAGAGGCTCTATGATTAACGTGTCGTTCTCATGTCACGGCTTAATCCCCAATCTTGGAGACACTGCATTTCACTGCAAACTTCTCTCTCAGGACCTGGACCCAGTGCTCCCCCGCAAGCCCCGCATTATTCCGTACAGTCATCTCAATCCTTCTTTCTTTGATTTGTTCACACTGCATTCTGCAAACAGGTCTAGCACTGGACACTTTGGTTCAGTAATTCCAACCAGCAGGAGAAGCCGGCCAGCTTGTCACAGAATCACAGAATCACATGGGGTTGGGAAGGGACCTCTGTAGATCATCTAGTCCAACCCCCTGCCAAAGCAGGTCCACCCAGAGCAGGTCACACAGGAACGTGTCCAGGTGGGTTTTGAATGTCTCCAGAGATGGAGACTCTACCACCTCTCCTGGCAGCCTATTCCAGGCTGTCCTCCTGGGTCAGCAAGATGTTCTACCACCCTGCCCGTAGCAGCCTCACCTGCAGTCCCAGGACCTCCAGCCAAGACCCACACCTTCACACTCTCAACGCCCAAGGAGCGAGGAGATGAAACCCACACCTCTCACCTTCTGCAGCTTGTACTCCTCTTCCACCTGCCCGGCCTCGTTGAGGTGATGGAGCCAGGCAGAGACATCCAGGCGCTTGTACGTGTTCTCCTCGGGGTGGGTCTCCGAGGAGGGCAGCTTGGGCCGGCGGATGGAGAACTGCATACACGTCTTCTCGTCAGTGAGCTGCTGAACGGGGGAAAACAGAACACAACAAACTGGAGGCAGGAGCCAGAGATGGCAGTGGAGTGTGAAACCCAGTGATTTGCAGAGCAGGAAAACCTTTCTGCATGGTTCGTGTAGGATTAAGCACTGAGGAGCTGCACTTGGGCAGGGTTTTTTTTTTTTCTTTTTTTTAAATTCCAACCATTACAATAGCGAGAGTGATTAGAATAATTAAAAAATCTGAGTACCACAAAACAGCTTCATCTTGAAAAAAAAATGGTTTCCATTCCTCCCCCAGTCTTATCCCTGACCTGAAACTGAATTAATGCCGCTTACAGCAAAACTTCACCCTGCCAGGAATGCCTGCAATAAATTACATATGATTGGCCATATACAAAGGGATTGCTGTTAGGCAGGCAGGGAACTGCACTGCCAGGCTCTCTAAGGGCACTCATGATCCCAGTGCAAGACTGCAGCTGACATTTAATTTAAAAATCAAAGGTTGTTCAATGTAAAAAGTGAGCCCATGCGACCATAATAAGAAAAGCAGCAGGGGGCTCTGTGGGAAGGATGGAAATTTAAAAATCACTGTTTCTAATAAGCACATACAGTATCTTAAACAGATAATTAAAGAGCTCTTATCACATTTGTATGTAGATTGAACAAAATATGGCAAGATGCCTTGTCAAAACACGCTCCGATGCGGTGTGCTACGCTTCACAAAATGGATGAAAAGGCTCTGACAGAATTTCAGAGCTACCACTGCAGGTTTCCCAGCCACCCCACGTGCCTAAAGCGCAGCGCTGACCTCTCGGGTGACCGTGTCGAGCAAAGCAACCACCTAAGCAAGTCCCCTGGATTATCAGACCCTTTATTCCACAGGCAGGACAGGAACGGACGGGGAGGTACCTGGTCCTTGAGATGGGTCTCTGTGCAGTACTTCCACTGCTGAAACACCTCCGACAGCTTATCCAGGCCACCATGGTGAAAATGGAAGATCTTGTACTGGCTCTCCCTGCTCGCGACAACCAGTTGTCCACAGGTGCAGGCCTCATCGCTGTGGGGCAAAACAACCTGCATTTATTGCCTGGAATAACGAGAGGCCCAGCAGGAAGGGGAACAGCAGATGAGAGAGCAAGGACAAGCAAATTAAGAAGTGTAGCATCCAGTTGTCCCTTAAAACAGAGCACAGAAGCAATCTTAGAGTGCTGGGCAAGGCCATAGTGACCCTAATTTCCTCCAAGAAGCTCCACTTGTGCCTGGTAACGGCACTCTCTTACCCTTCCATCACGTGAAGGAGTTAAATTTTGTCTTTCCTGGGGAAAAACCCTCAAGAAGTCTGCCCCAGCAACACTGAGGCAGTACACAAAGTCAGCTCCTAGAGAGGAGTGGACTCCTAGAGAGGAGAGGGTTTCACACAGCGTTGTATAAAGAAGCAGGGAGTGAGAAATGAGGGAGTAAAAATGTTTTTAATAACTTTCATAGTTATTTGAAAGATAACTGAAGAGGCTAAGAGCAGCAAGACCCTAGAGGACCCCCCCTGTGAGGGGCAGGCAAGGGAGAAGGTACCATAGATAGAGATGTTTTCCACACCTCCAGGTTATTTTAAACATTTTGGGTAAGATAGCTAAGAGCAACCTTTACCTTACTAGGGAAAAAAATCCTTTAGGCCCCAGAAGTGTAATTCAGAGGCTCTCCTTGGGGAAGGTTGATACTTGCTTTCCTGGAGACAACCATTAGGGAAAGACTTCCAAGGAGGTTGCAGAAGCCATCTGTCTCCACGGCCCAGAGCACACTGACCCAGAGCACACACAAATCTCACACACACCAACTTATTACCTAAAAAAGAGGCGAAGGGACCGCATTTGTCCCAGGTCCACTCTGAAGACACCACAGACCTGCTCGAGGGCAAACACCTTCTGCTGTTCGTCCCATCTGGTGCTCTGCGTTGGCCCGTTATTCTCCTGGAAGTGGGCACTGGTGTCGAGGCTGGAGGCAGAGCTGGTGGAGCAGGTCAGGCGGTTGTCACACGTGTCCCTGCAGACGGGAGCCCCACCAGACCATCAGCCAAGGGCTGCAGTTACATGCTCCAAGTTAAAAATCCCTTAACAGAGCTCTGAAACCATATTTCAGGGCAGGTCTAAGGAATCAATAACCCACCTAAGAGATTAAATTAATTTTATTTACATTCCCTCCCATCTCGATTTCAGGGCAGGTCTAAGGAATCAATAACCGACAGCCCACCTAAGAGATTAAATTAATCTTATTTATGTTCCCTCCCATCTCAAAAAATCATCCTATTTTTGTCTGGTCCTGAATTCCACACAGAAATGGGCAGAGTGAAAACTGTTCCTCAAAACAGTGACTTTTTGAGAAGGCAAAATGACAGAGCCCAGCCTGCTCCGAGGAATGGCCCGGCCCCTGCTCCTTCAGCACAGCTCAAGGACCAGCCTGGGGCACTTCCCTGCCCTCCACAGAGCCCTGAGCTGCAGGACCCCTTCAAACCATCATGCTTCTGGGATGGATGATCCCTGGAGATGGAAAACCTTGGCCCAGTCAAAAAAGATGACTGTAGAAGCTGAGCTGCTCACCAGGCTGCTCCAGCAGCACTCCAGGAACAACTTCCAAAGGCAGAGACTTCTTGTCCCATGGCGCCTGGCTGGGGACAGGAGCAGTGAGCGCATTCAGACGGCAGCACGGAGCAGGGATCCCATCTGCCAAATTCCCTCTGTGACCAGTAAGATCCAAAGACATCTCCCCTGAACTCCAGTTTCTCATGATGCCTTTGCAAGTGGACCAAATAAGCCTAAATTTGTGCACATAAACTTCAGACAAATGGTTGCCATTTGCAAACTTGGAACTTCGGAGAGTTAAGGAGTGGGAAATTACACGTGAGCTCTTTAACCCACCACAAAGTAGAGACAGTGAACCCAAGCCTTTACCGATACGCCAGGAGCTCTCTGCACCCCAGATATTTATCTTTAAGAGCAAACTGAAGTTAGATCAAAAAAACCCCACATGCCCACCACTAGCCCTGATCCCAAAAGAAAAATATCACTGCTTTGAGAATTAAGTGAATCTGAAACTGTGACCCCTTGGTTCTTAAAAAGGCCAATACATGTGAACAATCTCAGCGCAGGCTCTGAATGGGTTCCGCTGTGAAATCAGGGTTTGCAAAACAAGGCAAGTAGCAGGTATAAAGACAGCCCCCTGCAATGCCACTTTATGCAATGTTTTCTAATCCGCTTATCTAACAATGTAGGCACTGAACGCTGAAAATCACACACTCAGCATGCATCTGCAGCACACCACATCAGTATGCTCTCCAAGCCTGGCTCCGGTGCCTCTTCCACAGGGACCAGCCTTATTCGCAAGCATCTCCCCACCGTTCAGGTCACTGCATTCCAATGGCCAGGTCTCCGGACATCCCAGTTAGTTGTGGGTTAAATTTTTAGCTGAGCCCCTGCGAGCCGCCCAGTTCAAATGTCCGACTCAAAACCCCAGCGCCCACACGCATGGGAGATAAATCCCCGAGCCCCCTCCTCTAGTTCTGCAGCATTATGTAGATGAGAGGAGCCCTGTTTTACTTTCAGCTAAAAAGAGCGGCTTCGCTACTCTGTTCCTGAAGTTCTGCTGCTCCATTTTTCTGAAAGAAAGCATCAAAGCAAAACTTACATTCAAGCCATTCGGAGGTTTGAGGTCTCAGAAGTGAGACGGCAGCATCGCCGTGTGAGCAGGGATCACAGGACGTACCCGAACTCACTCAAAGAGGAATGAGCAGCTTTTTTTTGGGATAGAGGCCGGGATACTGCCAGTCTCACAAGCCCAGCTCTCACCATCACCTGCACCTTGTGAATTTTCCCATGAAAACTGTCCTGGCCTTTGTGAGAAGTTACTCACTTTCTTAGCTACTTTCTGATAAAGCTGCAAAATAGAAGGTTTTCCTAAAACCCTCAGTATCTCACGTTAATGCAACAGTAACAGGAGTACTGGTAGGAGACATGGTGCTGGGCTGCTTGCTACGAGCAGCTGGTATTTATGGAGCAACACTTCGTAACAGCCACAGCTGGTTACACAGGATTTTCCTGGAAGAGATGACTCAAACTAGCTCAAAGACTAAGCAGAGGCAACCAATTTTCTAAAACTCTTGCAAAGATGAGCTGGTGAGTATGACGAAGGGCTGGAAGACGCGGTGGCCGTGAGGATCACTGTCCTGTGGTTCCCTCCTCACAGAGGCCAACGAGCCCATTCTTCAGGAGCATCATCTCAAACCGGTGGCAGAAACGAGTGCCAAGAAATGAGAGTCACCAGAAAGCTGGGCAGGTTCACTTTGATCCCAGGAATGGTGCAGCTCCTCAGCACAGAACACTATTGCCGGCTGCAGTTCTTTTACTCCGTAACCAAAATCTGCTCCAGATACCCATGTAGCTCCCCAAAAACTCAGGGGCCGGGGAGCCCGGTCACCAAGGTGCTGGCAACATTAGATTTTCTGGAAATGCCTCTTCAAGGCAAATGTTTACCATTCACATTTAGCCACTAGTGACAAGCTTGTACAGGCATCCAACACACAGAGAAGGAATCTGAAGCAACACGGGGAAGCGGATTTACCCTTTCTGGGCAGAAAAGAGCCAGCAAGAGTAAGCACCATGCCTGAGTGTGCCCAGGGAAATTCCAGTGTTTTCACTGATGCAGGAGATGGCATCTGAAAGAGACATCCATGTACCCCATGCCCTTCGAAAAGGTTGATAAACATGTACAGGCACAAATGGCATAGATGCAGAGAGGGTATCACCTCATACATCGGTGCATACTTAGTCACTGTGGAAATTAAGAAGAAAACCTCACTGTGTTTAAAAGGACTTTTCCTTGTATATATTGATTGAAAAAAAAAAAGGAAATTAGTCTAATCTGTTGGACTACTTAAAAAAATAATTTTAATATTGACATCATTCTGTTCTCCAGTAACAAGAAGGAGTACGATCAATGCTAATTTCATGGATTTTGGAGAGTCCTCTCACTGTGCACACACGATACACAGATGCGAGGGAAGAATTCTCCAGTTTATTATTTGTCAGACTATTATATCTGTGGGATGAGGAATTTATACCAGAGGGCCCTGCAAAAGCAGGGAGCTGAAGCACCACGAGGCAAATAGCTGGAGGAACATTCCTGAGAGACTTTGGGTTGTGGGATCCAGGAAAAACAGAGCGCCAGCTCATACACAGCACTGCTCAGCCAAACAAGAGAGCAAGTGCCATGCTCCACAGGAATAAAAAGGACAGGGAAAAAACACTAAGGAGGATTTGCAAAACCTGCAGCAGCGAACCCACGGACACACTCATGATTCCACTTCAACCTTTTCCCCTTCCTGAAGTCCTGAAGTCTTTTGTCTCAAAATACATCTCATTCTTGCTGGGGAGCAAGACCCGGTGGTGATGTGTTTTTTTCCACTCAACAGTCAACCACAGCAATCGACCGAATCTACATTCCTTGGGCTTTTGTAGCCCCCAAGAAAGCAAGTGCTTGTGTGAAGCAGCCCCCAGCATCCTCCCACTGCTCCGGAGCTCTCGCCCGCTCCGAGGAGCTCGGCATCTCTGCAAGGGTGACACTCCATGGGCTGTCATTAGTAATGGGACCTGATTTACTCTTTACTCAAAGCATTTGTACACACCTACAGCGTACAGAGAGACAAAACCAATTATTATTTCTGTTATAGAGCCAGGGCAGAGACCTGCAGCAATTACACAGGCGGACTATTTCAGCAACAAAGATCTAATAACTCATTTTACGACACGATGTGACAAATGTAATTACAAGAGGGAAAGGGGCTGAAGATTCTAGCCATGATGTGGCCATCGCCTAAGCTGCCAGCGTGCACCACCCGCTTCCCAGAGAGCCTCCTGCCAGAGCCAAACCCTCCTCAGCTGGCTCCGTGGCCATTGTCCCACAGCTTGCCCTGGCTAATAACAGCCTTCCTTACAGCCCCAGCCACTCGGGCACGCTGGCTTGGGAAGCATCATTTACAGACAATAAGTATCATCATAATGTATGAGCATCCATGTAATGGGAATTACATGGCCCTTTTCCTCCCCAGGGGTCAGCATTTCTCTGTTTCTCCACTATTCCCCACAGGCACTGACCTTCGAGGTTCCTCTTCTTTCCAGCAAGGTGAAATAGCTCATGGCAGCATCGGCTGCCTAAAACGTCCGTGAGCTTCAAATAAATAATCCATCAGCAAAAGTTCAAAGCTATCCTGAAACACCTAAAAATTTAGGGCAGCGACTGTAGAAAGTGAGGTAATATCCAGCAGCTGGAACCCAAATCTATTGTTCTGATTAAAAAAAAATGTCCTTGACAATATACATATATAATGAGTTGTGAAACACGCTGACTTCAGCGATGTAGAAAAGACGGGTGAAAGAAGACAGATTGGCAATTTGGGATTAAAAAGAAATTTTGTGGAAATATTTTCGGACACTCCGAGTGGCGCTGGAGGGTGGGAAGGAGATGGGGGGATCACCAGCTCCCAGGGCAGCGTGGCCAGAGAGAGCCAGGCACTGGCACTGAGACTCACATCTCATCAGCACGGACGAGTCACCGGGTTAAAAATTGTGTTAAATTCACCCTTTGGCTGAAAATATTTGAAACCTGAAGCCCCTTTGCCTCAGAGAGCCCGAAAAGAACCGATTTACGCTGACCTCGGTGAACAGGGAAAAGGTGTTAGATAGTCTGGATGAAAGCCTAACCAGAATTTCTGAAATTAAACGTCTAAATATCCTCACGTGGAAAGGTATCTGTACGTCTGCAAACGTGTGTGGAAACAAATCCAACAATTCTTCCTGTTTGCGAAATTAAACGTCTAAATATCCTCACGTGGATAAAGGTATCTGTAGGTCTGCAAACGTGTGTGGAAAGAAATCCAACAATTCTTCCTGGTTGATGGGGAAACCTGTGAAAAACTGCCCAGGACGTTACAGTACAAAGTACAGGAATGTCAACACGGACTTTCCAAAAGCCCGTTCCACAGGCTTCCCATT